TGCAGATGACAAAATACATTTTGCCTATAATCGATTATTGACTAAAGCAGAAAAAAGAAAGTTACGTCACAATGATAAAAAAATATTGACTAAATTTCAATTGGGGGATAAGGTCTGGGTTAGGAATCACCCACAGTCAGATGCTCAAGAAAAAGAAATTAAGAAGTTTTTTCTCTTGTATGACGGTCCGGGTACTATAATTTCTCAGAAAGGTCCTAATTCCTATGAAATAAAGAGAGACAAAGATTCATTGCCTTTAGGTGTACAAAATGTCTGCAACTTAAAAAAATATGTTTCGCCTGTATATGTTGTATCTAGTATTAATTTCTGTCATCATTCTGACACAACTGAATAGGGGGGTAATGTAATAGGCCAACCCACCCCTGTTCATTTTATTTTATTTATTTGTATTATGTATTTTATGTTGCCTATATGTTATCTGTAAAAACAAGAGTGTTGTGCGGTAAGTTTCCAGGTGTGTGTCGTCTTCGACAATTTACGGGTCCGATCGGCGGTAATGGACCGACAGCGATCAATACATGATCGATGCAAAAGGGATAGTCTTGGCTAAGAGACTGAGAAGAGCATGTCGTTTGCTGCGACAACGGCAAGGAGTCGTTTACCGGCTTCCTGGTTGAAAGTGTGAAGTAACACCGTAATTATTATTGATCATGTGAATGCATATGCCAACTTTAGCAATTGCTTATTTATTGTTTTATTTTTTTTTTTTCGTTGATAATTTTGGAACTTTGTGGCTTCTACTGTGTAGACGCATGAACCCCCGACTTGTATTTTTTAATAAAGGTTTCTGCGAATTGTGTTTGTTCAAAATATTGTTTCATTTATAATTTGCAGCCCTTTTCAGTACTTAGTAGTTTCTAGCTTAGGTACATTTTGGGTAATTAATTGTATAGTTTGGGAAACTTGAGTCAATTTATATTGACACATTTAATTAGTGTAATAATTAGTGTTGGGCCAAATCGCATGTTTTTAAAAATCGGATCTTTCGTATTCGAATGATATTAAAAATCGGAATATCATTCGAATGATCACTCCTATCGCTACTTAGACTATATTCTATGCAATCACGCAACGGTAACGCGGTTCGTAATTCAAGATCAAAGACAGTGATGTGACGGAGAACACTGATGTTGAACGAATTGCATTTTCAGATGAAGTGAGCACCCAGCACAGATCGTATCCATCGCGGTATTATTGCATATTGTTTGTTTCCAGTTTCAGTAGTAGAATGACTAAAAGGTGAGGCGGTTGTCGCATTTTTAATTGTAATTTAAGTACAGCAGCGCACTATATAGAAAATTTCATATAGCCTTCATATAGGAATCGAATAAAGCGCACAGGGGCAAAAAAATCGGTGGTTTGGAACTACTTTGAAAAAACAAGAATGACAAAAAAGCTACTTGTAATATTTGTAAAAAAATTAATAAATCTTTTGGTGGTACAACCAACTTAAAACAACATTTACAAAGAATACATCCCTTTAAGCTCCTGGAAAATGAATCACCATCGAAGGAAAATACTGGTACCAATGAAAATCCTTCTAGTTTAAATAGTAATAGTCTCCAAGCCAATAATATTAATCATCAGTCAATTGATGCAGTACCGGGACCTTCAGGCGTTTGCTTAGAAAAATAAAATAGTACTCAAGAACCCCCAAGAAAACAATTAAAACTTTTTGGTGTCAGAAAAACCGGCTAAGCGAAACAGACATTCGCAACATTGATAAAAAAAATTATTAAAATTAATCATAAATAATTATCAGCCTTTTTCAATAGTTGAAAACACAGGTTACAAAGAGTTAACTTCAGAGTTAAAATCAATATTAAGTAATGTTAAAAATATTGCAATCACCACAGTTATCTAGACATCTGACAGCAATATAGCTTACATAACAGTGACGTGTTATTTTGTGTTTCAAGATAAATTATGTGCACGAGTTTTATGCACAAAAAGTATGTTAGGGGCACATACGAGTGAAAATATCGCAGAGAGTTTAACATTAATTTTAACCGAATGGAGAGAACAAGAAAATTGTGACGGTAGTGTCAGACAATGGCGCAAATATTAAAAAAGCAAAATTGTCGAAAATTTGCAAAAATAGAGATGTGTCGCACACACGCTAAATTTAAATGTTACGGAGGCAATTTCTAACAATGAAAAGTGCCATTTTAAAAAAATTTAGAGGGCTAGTTGGACATTTCAAACACAGTGTTGTGGCAAATGAAAAACTAAAATCTATACAACAGATGCAGATGCCTGAATTAAAAATAAAACAGAATGTTTCTACTCGGTGGAACTCTTGTTTTATAATGTTAGAAAGATTGGTGAAAATGAAGTGTCGTTGTAACCAATTTACCTAAGTGCCCTGAATTTTAAAATGCCGAAGAATGGGGATCATTGCTGAGAGCATGCAAATATTAAAGCCGGCATATGACTTAGACACTATTTTATCTGCAAAAATGTACCCAAAAATTTCTATAGTTATTTCACTGATAAGCGGGTTTCAGCATAAATTAAACAATATTATCCCCAAAACTGACTTGAAATACTTAAAAAAAAAATTGTTGGAAACTGCAACTAATAAAATTGTAGCCAAGGCGACTTTTATTAATCCCAGGTTTAAAAATTGGTTTTGACTTGGAGGAAAATGCAGTCAACGCATAAAAATGGATAAGTAAAGAACTTTGTCAAATGATTGTTAAACATCAAAATGAGGTAGAACATCAAGAAGATATTTCTGAACCTCAAAACCCCAACATTAACTTAGATGATTATCTGGATCAAAAGTAATCAGAAAAAATAATATTTTCAACTCCTACAAGTATACTTGCTCTAATAATTAGACAGTATTTGGAAATGCCTCTTTTGAATAGAAAAATGGATTCTTAGACATTCTGGTCTAAACATAAACGAATTTTGCCCGAAATGGCCGAATTAGCTTTCAAATATTTGTGTTTCCAGTACCTTGGTGCCGTCAAAAAGGGTTTTCTCAAAAACTGGACAACTTATCAACTCGAGAAGAAACAAACTTGCTTCTAAAACCTCAGATCAGATTGTTTTCTTAAATCCATGTGATTTTTAATTACGTATGGTTACCTATTTTTTTTTGTTTAATTTTTTTACGTTTTATATTTTTATTAAGGAATTTTAAATTTTCGTTGCCAAAAAATGATGGTACCTTTTATTTTAGTGACTACTAGGTTTAAGTTTTATCACTAATTCGATTTCAATATTTTTAATGCCAAAAATAATATTCCTGTCTGTTACTTTTATATTATATAGAATGTATAATATCAGTTTTATGGTTTAAAAGATTTTTATTTTGCTTCTTATTAAAAAATTTGTTTTAAGTTTTTCGTTTTAGTTAGTTTTATATCAACGAATTATTGTTTTAATAAAATTCGCATAGTATTGACTTGTTTTAATCATCAAAATTAAGATTAAAAATTAAAACTTAAAACAGACGTCAGCCCGTCATCTACTCTCAACTATTTAAATTTATTCCAATCTCGGCTACCATGGAACTTGACCAAGCCAATGCGTCTACGAACCGTGAGCCGATGCGATGCTTATCGTATCGAGTATCGACCGGTAAATCAAGTGTTTCTATTCGTTAAATTCAGATGATAGCGCACAGGTTCTAGAGATAGGTTGGGACGACTTTTTCCTGTCGCAGTGTCAAACTGCGACTGCTCTGACAAAATCGCAGTGCCAAATCGCTGCGATTTTCCGGAGCAGTGCCTTTCTTCTTATCTACACTTTTATCGATATTTCGCGACTGAACTATATAGTCTAATTACGATGTCGCATCGCATTCGTGAACTGTCAGGTAATACGATAATCGGGATTGTGTGATTGTTGATATTGAATAAACATCAGATCAGTCTAAAAGTCCCACCACGTTAGTCGATTGTATTAGTATGTTTACCTTTTATTTAATATTTTATGTTGCTGTTTAAAAAATGGAAAATAAAAAGAAATCGGTTCTATGGAATTATTTTACAATTTCAAATGAACCAGAAAAAGGGAATTATTTTAAAACCTGTGCAACCGGCGACAGAAGAAAAATGTCCCAAGGAGTCAGAATCATGACCTTCATGTAGTAAAAAGGTAATTCTTGGACAAAGCAAACTTCCATATTTGCCAAAAACAATGGGGTTTTTAACAAAAAATAAAATTGACAAATGTTAAATGGGTTTATTTACTAAAGATTATTAATCTTTTAGTGTTGTTGAAGACACGGGCTTTAGAAATTTTGTTAATATTCTAAACTCATCTTATCAAATACCATCTAGGAAAACTATTTCAAAAACCTTTCTGCAAGCAATGTACGAAGAAACATCAATACACGTGAAAGAACTTATTAAAAATGTTACTTCGGTAACGGTTACTACCGATTGTTGGACTTCTGTTAACACAGAAAGTTTTATGGCAGTAACCGCTCATTATATTGATGAAAATTTTTGAATTAAATCAATTTTATTGGATTGCTCTGCATTTGCTAAATCTCATACAAGTGTAAATTAGGCATCCCAGCTAAAAAAGTATTGGAAGCTTGGGGAATCGAGAAAAAAATATTAATTCGTGTTACAGACAATGCTGCTAACTTTACAAAAGCAGTCTTAGAAGAACTTCGTTGAAGGCATTTCGGATGTTACGCGCACACAACACATCTTAGTAGCGCAAGATGCCATAACTGTAGTGAAAGACTTAAAGTACAACTCCCTTACAGCTAAATTATTTGAAGTTTAGAAACAACAAAAACCTTACGAACTGCCGAAGAAACTTCTACAAGATGTTAGCACCAGATGCAATTCCGCTTTTTACATGGTAGAATGGCTTCCGGAATTAGAAGAGTCTGTTCGAACAACTATCGATCTTTTAAATACTGATAAGATTCCAATTATTTATGTGAAAGAGTGGCAATTATTGGCTGATATAAAAAATTATTGGAACCATTGGAAACGGTAACCAAAGAAATGAGTGGACAACATTATGTTACGTTATCATCCGTCATAATTCTCACAAAAGGTTTGGAGAGTATGCCGAAGGATCTAAATTCAGAAACTTCATTTGAATTAACCCGAACAATGACCAGCAAAATGTTAAACAGCATAATTAATAGACTAGGAGCCATAGAGACCAGTAATTCACTCCTAATTTCAACATTTTTGGATCCAAAATTCAAGAATATTGGATTTTTAAGTGAATCAGTCGCCGAAAGGGCCAAGAAATTAGTAATAAACATTGTGTCTCAAAAAATTGAAAGAGACACAGAAACGACTAGTCGTCAAGCCGAAACGACTGTTGATCTAGCGATTAACGAGGCATCTACAGAATTAGCTGCAAAAAAGATTAAACTTTCAATTTGGAGCCATTTTGAAGAAAAAAAAAGCGGCTGCATTTCAGCCAGTGTGTACATATTCCTCAAGGGCTATTGTTGAAGTACAACGATATCTAGATTATCTTTTAGATAGGAAACAAGACCCTCTTTTGTGGTGGAAACAACATTCTTAGTCTGATAAAGTAAAACAATTAGTTTTTTTACATGTAAATAATAGATAATTTTGTCTGTTGATAATTTTTCTTTATTTATTTTAACGAGAGAGTATTGTAAAAAATAATGAAACACATTTTAGGTGAAGAATAAAAGTGTTTATATTTTGTAAATTAGTCGCATTATTTCTGTGGATACAATAATATGTTGACAAATTGTATTATAGCCCTGAATTTTCGAAACGTTTATCTTTTATAATCTAATTAAATTTAAAACTGATAAACTATATGCGATTTTATGAATACGTACAGTAAAATAAGCTACTAAAATAGTTACAACTTGTGTAAGATAGTAATAATTATTTAGGTATTTAATATTATTTTTTATGAATAAAAATCATAAATATATTATATTCTACAGTTAAATTGTTTAAAATTATATTATGTGAATCTCAAAACATTTCCTTTTATAAATGCATACTTTTTAATTTAATTTTTATACATCTATTTTTCATGATAAATGAATTACTGCATTCACGCACAAGTCTGCTTTTGTGAATGTACACTCTATTTGCCATGAATATATGGGTGTCTACTTATTTACGTATCTCGTTTTTTATATACATGTATTTTTTCTAAATATAAATTGTAATTTTAATTGAGGCAAATAAAGATTATTGATTTATTTTTAATATAATGTATAAATGTGTCTAATTTAAATAAAACAATCGGTAAATTTTCTATTAGTTTTTATTAATTTAATAATAATAATGGGTACAGTTTTTAAACAGTAGTCGTTAACAAGTTAGGTAACCATGTGGGTTCTTATAAGCTGCTTATACGTAAACAAAATACAATGAACAGATTAAAAATAAAAGGCAACACATTCAATTGAACACAATCGTCATATAAATTATATGGATATCAAAACATATTACAAGATCTTCAATCAGTATCGTTATCAGGTCCTGCAGGTAAGTTTCGTTTTTTCTTAATGTTTTTATCGTTTGTATCTTTATTGGCAAAAGGTAGTCTGGAAAAAACCTGAATACGTGTCTGGTATTACCCCCTCTTTTAGAAGGTACAGTAAATCTTTTTTCTTAGCTGCTGTTACTGGTATTTTTTCCTTATATTTTTGCTTAAGAGAAATGTCATTCCAAATGTTTTTCGATTTTGTTTTCTTTGCATTTAAAATTTGGCTATGTTAATTTCTAAGAAATTATCATCACTCAAATTAAATTTATATTGTATAGTGAAGGGCTTATTCTTTTCGAAACGAAGCCATTTTACCTTTAACCACTTAACTATGTGACCATCCTTATTTTCATCAATTGAGCTCTACCAAGAAACTGGAGTGCTAAATATTTACCAATTATACGTAAAAGTGATTTTACTAAAACAACATAAAGATAAAGCCACTTTAAAGTCAATCCAACATAGCTATCTAACTAGATATAAGGAAAGCGCTGCAAAATGAAAAAAGCTATAGGAAAAAAAGGTTTTACATACCTGGCTCCAAAGTTGTATAATCAATTACCATCTGATTTAAAAAAAAATTAACTCCGCAAGTTTATTTAAAAAGAAAATAAAAAATTGGATACTATCTTTTCCGACTGCTACATTGCAAAACTTTATTTCGCCGTGAAATGAAACATGTTATAGTCTGTCAATCTTATCGTAATTTAAAAAAATAAAATAATAATAAAAAATAATTTAATGTCTATTAATATTCTAATTGATTTTACTAACACTGTTTTTTCATTGTCCCTTTATATTATATTATATTCTACAGTTAAATTGTTTAAAATTCTATTATGTGAATCTCAAACATTTCCTTTTATAAATGTATACTTTTTAATTTAATTTTTATACATCTATTTTTCATGATAAATGAATTACTGCATCAAGCACAAGTCTGCTTTTGTGAATGTACACTCTATTTGCCATAGTCTACTTATTTACGTATCTCATTTTTTATATACATGTATTTTTTCTAAATATAAATTGAGGCAAATAAAGATTATTATTATCTGCAGGTGAAAAATTATTATTTTGTGTTATATTTGTTATAACCTTCGACTCGAGATCTTCTAAATCAAATACATCGGAAAATATTCGTTTGGTCACTTTGTAAGCTCTAGGTGTTCTTCTTGCCATCTCAATCAGTATAGCCCATTCTGGAAGTGAATATAGTTTTTTATGTTTACTAAGTTCTGACGGGCACAAATATTACATGGTGCTTACAACAAATGTGCTCTAGAAAGTGTAATTAAATGCCTTAATTCCCAATTTTAAATTTGAATTTATTGTAGTTTGATGGGTGTTGGAGGTACAATGTTTGTGCCCAATAAAAAAGGCTAAAATTTGATTTAATTGGTACCAAGGTCGTCATAACATTAAATTTGGAGTTACAATACGATATACATTATTTATTTTTAAAATGTGTTTTGACAGCCTTCTATATGCGTGAGCGCACATTTTGCCGGATGGCCGTGTTAGAATAATTTAGTGTAAGCTAAAATAGAGTATCTAAGATGTTGTTTTCTGTTAATAATAATATCACGTTTGCTGTATTGGTGATGTCACCGACAGCCGGTATTGAAAGAGATTTGTCTGTAATTTATAGCGATATCGATTTTATCTAATGTATTTTTAGAAGGGAAGAATCAGTCTTAGAACTGATTCGTTTAGTAAAGGTTGATTATTAATATTTTAGTTAATAAAAGTGGTGTTTCCTTCAAAATTTGTTGTTTTTTTTTTAAACGTCGATAACATATATTTGGTATTTCTGAAACGTATTTTAAAAGAGTTGAATGGCACTAATTTATTATTTAAAAATACAACTGTTGATGTTGAAATTATTTATCAAAATTTAAAATCTTATTGTCTCTGTGTCTTCAAGAATATTCTCTCTAATATTTAACAACAGTTGCAAAAAGAAAAATAACCACTTAATATGCCGTCTTCTGCATTACGAAATCCGTTTGGTTTTGCAACATTAGATGAGGTGGACTATGGTGCTCAGAGATAAGACATAACTGATAGTTTCTAACATATACAAACCTTGCCTGCGCGTTTTGGACCAATTTCCGGCACTCGTTGCGCATTGCTTAAGGTGTTTACACCTTGTACTATAAACAACTGACTAATACGTGAAGGTAGTTCTTACTCGATGACTATACACTATGACAGTCACTTATCATTAGTCATTAAAATATTTCAAATCGTTGTCACATTTCAATCAATAGCGTCATCAGTACAATGTCTTATAAATGCTATTTGTTTGTACCTTGAACCATAATTTCAACAAGTATCATAACCTATAACTAAATACAGGAAATACGGAGAAAGGATAAATATTAATTAATTTAATATTAATTACTTATGTTCTATTTCATTTCCATTTACTTTGAGAATTTACAAATGTACTTAATCGTGTTTACTACATGAATTGAATATATTAAGGTAAGAAATAAATATAATTTCAACTAAAAATTAGAATAAAGTAGTTTTTTATTATACATAGGAGTTCACACTGTGTGTAAATCCTTATTATCTATATATCAGTCCATGCAACGTGGTCTAACCAATAATTTCTGTATTTATTTCAGATATAATCATGTCCAAACACAAGAAGAGGATGCAATGACTATGAAGTCTTTATAGCCATGAAAAAAGAATAAATAGATCAGGTCAGGATACGACGGCAATTTTATGTGCTGACGACTAAAAAATGGAGTTACTTTTTAGGTACAACGTAAATAGATGAATATTGTAATATTTAAGTTATTACAGTTTCAAATAGCAGCGGTCCTTCTCTTTTGGCGTTTTCTGAATGTTTTTTTTTTGAAGCTTAAAATACTTCCTTATAATTTATGAATATTAAAAGGTACTAAAATATCCAACAATTTATTTAGAATTATGGACAGAATATTCTTGACAAATAAACCAAGTGAAATCAATTATTTTTAAAATTACTGTGAGCGACTTTTTTACTATTTTGTGCCACCAAAGAAACTCACCAACGCCGTCCACGAACAAGCACCACACATGAACGAACTTTTCGTGTTAAAATTTCTCAAAGACTGTTGACACGTTACGAAGCGGAAGGGGAAACATTTTTAAGTGTGTATAGTGACTTGTGATGAAAATTGGGTGCACCACTATACACCTAAGTCCAAAAGATCAAGTAAGAAGTTGGGACAAAAAGGCAAATACTCGTCTGTCTGCGGGTAAAGTTTTAGCGACAGTGTTTTTGGATTATAGAGGTGTTTTGTTGGTGGATTTTCTTCACGATAGACTAACGGTTAATGCAGCTTATTATTGCGATCTTTTGGAGCATATTCGAGCAGCTTACCAATCTAAAAGACGGAGATGTCCGGTACGACAGGTGCTGCTCTAGCATGACAACGCTCGACTGCATACAGCTGTACAAACTCAAGAAAAACTAGCAAAAATGCATTGGACTATTGTTGAACACCCTCCCTATAGTTCAGACCTTTCACCATGTGACAAAACGGGTATAAAAACTCTACCTAGCCGATGGGAAAATTTATTTAAAAAAGAGGAATGTATAGAAAAATAAGACATTGTTCATTTATTTTTATTATAATTCAGTAAAAAGTTATTAACAAAGGTCGGTTCATATTTTATCCACCCTCGTATATAGGATGTGTGAAAACGCGAGGTTACGATTTTCTTAATTTTTTAAATAGAATACCCGGTATGAATTAATTGGTAATATAACATAAAGAGTATTTTATTTAAAAATTGAGAAAATCGTAACCTCGCATTTTGACCCATCCTATATACAACATAGCAAATGAATTAATAAGTTTATTCTGTAACTCATAACAATCCCAAAAGACATCGTTAGACAACGAATCTCGTTAAAAATTACTTTTCTTTAAAATCCCATATTGTATGTGACAATCGGTATTTCAGTCTC